GGGAGAGGAGGTGAGGCGTCCGTGGTGGAGCTGAGACCAGGGCTGGGTGTCTGGGTTCCCGGCCCAGGTCACCACAGTGAGGCAGCCGTGGGGACAAGCTCCTAAGTGTTTTAGGGTTAGTGACTCAGGTGCCTTGCTGACTGCCCCATGGAGGAGGCACTATAGTACTCTTTTTTTCCAAGGAGGTACGTGAAGCTAATCCTGCGACTTGCCCAAGGTTATGCAGCAAACCGTGCAGGAGAGAAAGACAGAGTCAGAGACAGAGAGAAAAGAAGGAGGAAGGGGGCGGAGGAGAAGGACGAGGAGGGAGAGGAGGGGAGAAGAATAATACAAAGAAGGAGAAGAAGAAGGGGAAAATGAGGGAGGGAGAGGAGAAGAAGAAGAAGAAGAAGTAGGAGGAGGAGGTAGAGAAAGGAAAGAAGGAAGGAAAAGAGAGAAGAAGGAAGGAAGGCAGGAAGGCAGGGAGGGAAGGAGGGGAGAGAGAACCTGAGGTTGCCTGACTCAGAGGTCTGAGGACGGCAGGCTGGCCTCCTATCCTCTCTGGCCACGAGACCCTGGGACATTACCAGCCACTTTCCCCTCCCTGGGAAAATAATTAAATTACATTTTAACAATTTGATGTCATTAAGAATTGTTTACATTTTAAATACTTTTAGCAGTGCTGCCTGATCCTTCGCCAAAATCTTACTTGGAGAGCAGGGAGAGGAGCTACCCCACTCGGAACGTGATGGGGTCCCCAAGTGCCCCCGCTGGCCCTGCTGCCCCCGGAAAAGCATTGTTTGAAAAGCACTGGAGGAAATGCTCTCGGGACCTTTGCCTGCTCTGACATGTGACAATGGAGACTGAAATAGGACAAGGATGAGAGGAATCTGTTATCCACTCATTCAGGCGATTTCCACCGCTTGGACACTGCAGGTATCTCTCTGAGATCTTGATTTCAAGCCTTTTGGATTAAAATACCCAGAGTGGGGGCGCTGGACCATATGCTGATTCTGTTTTTAATCTATTGAGAAACCTCCCTACTGTTTCCCACAGCGGCTGCACCAGTTTACATTCCCACCAACAGTGCTCAGAGGTTCTGACTTCTCCACATTCTTGCCAACATTTATCTTTTGCTTTTTCGATAATGCTCATACTAACAGGTGTGAGGTGATCTCTCCTTGTGGTTTTGAGGCGCATTTCCCTGATGATTAGTGACGCTGAGCACCTTTTCATGTAACCGTTGGCCATTTGTGTGTCTTCTTTGGAGAAAGGTTGTCCATGTTTAATAGGGTTATTTGTGTTTGGGGCATTGCATTGTAGGAGTGCCCTCTATATTTTGGATATTAATATCTTATCAGATACATGGTTCGGAAATATTTTCGCCTCTCCTGTAACTTTTCTTTTCACTTTCTACATACCATGGAATACTATTCGGCCTCAAAAAAGAAAATTTGGAATATGTGACACGTGGTCGAACCAGGAGGACATGAAGCTGATGAAGTCAGCCAGACACAGAAGGACAAAGACTGCTTCTATGACGTACCTAAAATAGCCAAACTCATAAGGGCAAAGAACAGGATGCGGATGGACGGGGCTGGGGGAGGGGAAGCGGGGAATCATTACTCAGTGGATATAAAGTTATAGTTATACAAACTGAAACTGTCCTCGAGATCTGCTGCATAATATTGTTCTTATAGATAATAATTCAGAATCATGCACTTAAAATGTGTTCAAGAGGCAGATCTCGTGCTGAATGTTTTTACTAGGAAACAAGAAAAGGAGAGGGAAGGATTCGGCTGGGCCCCTCACTGCGGGCTGTGTTTCCTCCAGACTTTCCTGTGAGCTTTTTGTGTTTGAGTTTCGCCAACCCCAGACGCTGCAGACAGAGCCCCCTGCTTAGGGACGGCCTGGTTTTAAGGGCCACACCTTCGGGACTCTCGGGTTACCCGCCTGGCCTCTCGGACGCAATAAGCAGATGGGCATCGGGGGTGCGGGGAGGACCAGCCATATTGGACCACTTTTCCCTGCCACCCCGCCCCCCGGCTCAGGGCAATCAGAGGCCCGGGTGCCAAGCCTGGTTTGGGGAGATTTTCTCCAGCAGGCCCCGTCCGCCCCTGCCTGTCCCCCGCCTCCTCCTGGTCCTGGCAGCTGCAAGGGGACCTCTAGCCCTGCTAAGTGACGGGGCTGTAGGGGCCGGGGGCCAACTCCAAACCACCTCTGGAAGCAATTTCTTGCTCTGCTTCGGGAATCGGTGCAATTTTCTCTCCTGTCTCCCTGCTGCCTTTCTCTGCAGCCATCCCCCACGGGGGGCCTGCGCTCCCTCTCACCCCAGCCTGCCGCGTGTGTGTGTGCGTGCGTGCGTGCGTGCGTGTGTGTGTGTGTCTGGTGTGTAAGACGGAGGACGGGGCTGTGTTCACACCTCTCTCTCCCTCTCCTCGGCCTCCCTCTCTCTGTCCTCTGCTCTCCTGTGGGGACCGCCCAGGTCTGCCCAGGGTCCAGCCAGCCAGCGTCCCTCAATTGCCCATCCTGGCCCAGGCACTGCCTCAGGCCCCTGAAAGGTGGCTTAGATGTGGTTCGTTGTGCTGTTGGCACAGAAGGTGGACGCTGGAACCAAGGTGACCGGGAGGGAGGCCCAGGGCTCAGGGGAGGAGTGGGGGGCACACACTGGGGGCTTCAGGGCAGACGCGGCTTCCATCTAGGGCCTCAGGGGAGGAAGTTACTTAAGCCTCCGTTCTCGAGTTTGTTCTCTCAGAACACAAGGAGCCCCTCCCTCGTGGGGTCGTAGTGAGGACCGAAGATGTCAGGGTCTGAGACGGCCCTTGGTAGGGGGTCAGCATCATTACAAGCTCCGTTTTACAAACATATTTGCGCATGGTCACACAGCTGGCGGCTGGCATCAAGCTGCCACCTCAGACCCAAGGCTCCCAGGGTCTTCCTGAAGGACCACCCTGCCCCCCGACCCCCTCCTCCTCAAGCTAGACCTGTCCTTGACTCACCCTCGACTATAGCTGGGGTTGCCTGACACCCAGCCCCTGTGTGCACAGCCCCGCACGCGCACGTCCAAGGCAGGGGCTGCGTCAGGCTCCCCCGCATGGGGCAGGGCGGCCTAACCCAGTATTACCTGTGCTGCTGGGGGCTTGCTTGTCCCAGAGGACAGAGAAGTCTTTCAGCTTCATTGTCACAGGAATTGGGGGTCGCAGGATGGAGAGCCACATCACCAGACAGCCAGAGGGCCCCTTCCCATCTTTGGGATAGTGGACGCCTGAGGACTTGGACCAGATCATCTGTGGACAGAGACAGATGACTGGCCAGATGACAGGGACAAACAGGAGGGAGGAGGTGGGGCACATTGAGCAGGACACCAGCATGTCACTCCCTCACAGGGGCATGGGGTTGACTGGGCCTAGAAAGGGGCTACTAAGTCATAGGTGGGAATGGCCAAAAATGGCGGTCCCCAGAAGGGACAGAGGGCAGATCCTGGTTGCCTTCTAGCCGGGCCCTCCAGGAACAAGGCACAAAAGGAGACTGCTTTCCATATGTGCCCAGAGACTGACAAGCTATCAGTTAAGCTAAAACCAACTACTGGATAAAATTCCCCGCTTGAGCCCTGGCTGGTGTGGTTTGGTTGGTTGGAGTGTCACCCATACACCGAAAGGTTGTGGGTTCGATTCCTGGTCAAGGCATGTATGGAAGGCAACCAATCAATGTTCCTCTCACACTGATATTTCTCCATCTTTCTCTCCCTTCCTCTGTCTCTAAAAGCAATGAAAAAGTGTCTTTGAGTAAGGATAAAAAAGTTTTTTAAATTCATCCCTTGAAAGAACTAAAAATTTTCTATACAGTTATAGTTTTACATGACTGAAAATCAGCAAAAAACCAAAGATGGCTATTTAATTATTATTGCACATGTCTAGGACAAATCATGTTTGGATGAAAAACAAAATAAAGACGTGGGTATGTCACGATCTTTGTTCGCTTTCCATAACATCTATTGTATTTGTCTTCATTTCAGCAAAATCTCTAACATTGTCACAACAATTATCTTTGTATAAATTGTCTCTATTGACAGAAATTGTCTAGAGGATGAGTCTTCCATGTTTTTTTGTTAATTGTGTTCAAACATTCCTGAACCTGTGGTCCTGTGATTTAAGCTGCTTTATAGCTGCCATCTTCTCTCTCTGGGGACAGTCTTCTATTTCCCTGGGGTTTCAGTCCAGGTTACACCCCAAGGCTCCTTGGTTAACCCAAGGCACCTTGTTCCAGGGCCAGGCTTAGGGGTCCTGCAGACCGCTCTCCACTCTGACCAGCTGCCTTCTGGAGCCACTGCTTGCTTCATTGATCTCACTTATTGTGGCTGCTTGGTTGTTTTCTTTGTTTAAATTGAATGTGTTGCCAACATTCAAAAATGGAAACATTTTTTACATTAAAAACCTGGCTTTTAGTTTCTCTCAAAACTTGAAAAGCCAGCAACCCTTGGGCACCTTTTGCAAGGTCTAACTGAGGCTGGCAGGAACTTAGGCAGAGGTTATGGGGGAGGGTCCCTAATAACCAATCACCCCTTCTTCTAAACTAAGAGAATCCCCTATTTTGGGCTGGGCACATGGCCACCCAAGATAGAAATGACATTTCTCTGCCTCTCTTGCAGCTAGGTGCACCATGTGACTAGATTCTGGCCAACAGGAGGAGAGGTGAAGAGACGTGTATAATTTGTGGGTTGTACATTTAAAGGGAGTGGATTTGCCCTCCCTTTTCCCTTGCCCCCTTCCTGTTGGCTGGGAGGTGGAGACACTGGTCGGTGGTCTTCAGACATCCAGAAGAAGACAACACCCTAGGAATGGCAGGCCCACAATTTAGAAGTCTGGTTCCCTGATGACTGGGTGAACTGGAGCTACCACACACACTGACACTTTTATGTGAGGTCAGAATGTAAATTTCTTTCTCTTCTAAGCCACTGTCCCAGGGAGGCCACCACTGGGCGCGCCCTTAGGTGAAGCCCCACTCTCCAGTTTACCACGATCCCCGCCACCCCTCATGTTTCCCCAGCACCCACTTCAGCTGACGTCTCCTACTAAATTTGCGCTGTGATCTTTTCCCTCACCCCTGCCTACTGCCCACCTGGTGCCATAGGCATTTGAGTTTGGGACGCCCCGTGGTCAACCCTCAAAAAACAAAATCTAAGAAGACACCCATGTTCTAGTGTCTTGGAGCTCACTGTCTTTTTTAGAGGATACTCTCCGTGACTCTGGGGCTCCCCTTTCTGGGGAGGCCAACTTTACTGACTCGTTGGTGCTTCGCTGGGCACCTTCTCACTTGAGAAGAGGAAAAAAATCAGTAAGTTTTATTTCTGGCAGTAAACGTGAAATGAAGCTCCAATAAGATCACATGTCGCGGCCCTTGAGCGGCATTCAGCTGGCTCTTTGTGTCTGCTTGCAGGCCCCATCGCTGCTCCCGGTGGCATCTAGAGAGAGCTGGGGGCGGGATTTGGTCTCGGGGACGGTCTGGCCCCAAAGCCTGAGTGACTCCCTTCTATGCAACTGGGAACCTGGGCACAGGAGCCAAGTGACAGCCTAGGTCTCAGTTGCAATGACTGACATGGTGCATAGCCCCCACAGTATGCCTAGAATGGGCAAAAAAGCCTTTGTTTGGGACACTTGTTTCCCCCGAAAATGCTCATTAGTAGGTGACCCTGAAGCAAGCTTCGCCCACAGGCTCTGGAAGGTATTGCCAAACTGTGCTCAGCCCCATGGGTGCCTTGAGGGGCCAGGGCCGCTCCTCTGCCCTGCTGGCCACACCAAGCTAACCCCTCCTCGGGTCACGGGGACAGGGCCTGTAGCACCTGCTGCCCCCGTGCGGTCACCTGACCAGGAGCTTCAGCATCCCAGGATCTTGTGGGGAGCCCAAGCTGACTGCATCCAAATCTATTTTTCCTCCCCAAGATCCCAGGGGATTTGTGCACCCAAGCAAGTTGGATACTCACTCAATTTAGCAAAATGGGTGAAAATGGAAAGAGTCCAGGCTTTGACTTAAACCGCACCTGAGTCCCAGCTATGCTGCTGCCGGCTGAGTGACCTTGAGCGTGTGTCTTAAGTTCTGAGCCTCAGCTATAACAAGGGAGAACTCATAGCAGGTGAAACCATAAGCAATTTCATAGGGTCCAACCCAATACTTATCTTGTGAGGTTGTTGTGGAAATTAATTTTAACATGAGATGAAATGTACAAGGCACCTGGCGCGTAGTAGGTGTTTACTCAATGGCCCAGCCTCGATCCCCCTTACTACCCTCACCCCACAGGCGCCTGTGAAAGCCACACAACAGAACCAGGGCACATGCACTGTCTCACTGAACAAGCTTCTGCAACACAGGCCCCAGGCGTGTGGACAGGGGATTCTTCTGTGGCCACAGGAAGCAGGTTCAGGGGTACCTACCATCGTCACCCCTTTGAAATACGTCCCATTTCGCTTCCAGATGACGAGGGAACCCGAAATAGCCTGGTGACGCCCCCAGGGGCACACAGAGGCTTGGACGCTGACCCTGTACCCCGCTCTGCTCTCGGGCTCACTCCACACATCACCCCAATGGGTTTACAATCTTCCCCAGGAAAAGCATGCTTCCTGTTTCTGTGTGAAAGGTCATCACCAGGAAGGGCCGACGGAACTCAGTGTCTGGAGGGGGTGTGGAGTCGAAGTCAGGGTGGGGGCTGGGAGTGAGCTGGATGCTGGTGGCAGCAGCCGCCTCTGAGCCCTCCTCACCCAGAGTCATCACGGCCTTGTGAGTGACCTGCAAGGCAAGTTCGGGGGTCGTCAACTGACCCCATAGGAGGGATCGACCGGACCTGTATTTTGTACCCTTTCTTTTCTAGTCCTTTACTTAACCCCACACTTAACCATTCGTTCACGTACCTGCTCACCTCTTCTCCATTCGCCCTTCGGATTTGGCACTTATTGTCAGCTGACACGTTATGTACGTATTTGTTTATTCGTTGTTGCGCCTTCCCATCCCCACACTAGATTATACTGGTTCTGTTCTCTGCCCTGTCCCCGAACCTCATCTATGTCTGGTACCTTCCCGTCCCCTCAAGCAGGACTCAGGGCCCCCAATTACCCGATGAAGCCACTGAGGCTCAGCAAAGCAGTGTGGCTTGTCTAAGGTCACACAGCCAGGACAGGACAAAGCCAGGGCTTGGACCTGGGTCTGTCTGACCTCAAAGCCCACACTCCCTCACTTGCCCTCCACTGCCCCTTCTAGAGTGTGTGTGATGAGGAGGCCACAGGGACCCAGGGCCATTCAAGGAAAAGGATGTAGGCCTTTGACGGTAAACAACTTAACTTGGCTCAAGTGCTGGCTTGACACTAACTAGCAGTGCTGACCTGGGGTGGTTTTCTTAGCCCCTCTAAGCCTCGGTTGCTCCATCTGTGAAATGGGAATGACGGCACGTACCTCACCGACGTCCTGCGAGGCACGGGCCTGGTGCCTGGCCCAGACCAGTGCCCAGTGAGGCCCAGCGAGGCTGGCGTGGAGGTGAGGCTGGCGGTGCTGTGAGCTGCGCGCTCTGCCCCCTGCTTCCGCCTCCTGCGACTCCCCTCCTCCCCGACAGGGCTCCCAGCCCTGAACATTTATTTCCCTCTGTTCTCGGTACCTCGGGCCAGGCTGACTTGTGCCTCTCCACAGATCTTTCTAGGTTGTTCTAGAGCACAAGTATGGTCATGCTTAAAGCCCCTGACTGCATCCCTTTTGGCCTCAAGATAGAGTTCCAGGTCACCAGCGTGGCTCCCAGGGCCCTCCAGGGCCTGCGCCCAACCCAGTGAGGGACTCTCAGGTCCCAAGGCACCAGCCTCCCTTCCCTGGCTCTCCCGCGTTCCCTCTCAGTCCCTGCTCGGCACAGCTTGTCCACGGGCCACGAGCAGGCGTGCCCTCCGGGAGCTTCCTCTGTGTGTCCATACCTGCCTTCTCTTTCCTTGTCTGTCACTCGAGGGCGGGGATGGGGACTTCCTCCCCTGGGACCCCAGCGTCAGCGAACACTTGGTAACTTGTAAAGTTACAGGAAACAGCAACTCCCCTCTGTGAGGAGGTTCCGGGGCCCTCCCCCAGCTGTGGCCCAAAGACACGGAGAGTGGCCAGCACCCCGAAGCCTCATCCCCAGCTTACCCTGGACACGTTCAGGCCGGGCTGTCCTGGGAGGCCTCCTCCCACCGCGCCTCGCGGGAGGAGCAGCTCCAGCCTGGAGGTGCTGGAAATGGAAAACTTGGGGAAGTGGAAATTGAGTTCCCTGTGGAGAGACAGACTCGGTTTGCTGTTCAGTCTCCACCCCCACCCAGCCCCAGGCTGCAGCCTTCCCACCCTCGCCTCTCTGTCCCTTCAGCCCCTCCTCTGGGGGGAGGGGGGAGGGCGGGGCTGGGAGAGAGCTTTCTAAAGTGCATGCTGTCCCCTACTGTTTAACTCTGCTTGTCATGGGGCTACACAGGGTGGCACCAGAGCTGGGACTAGAACAAGCCTCCCGACCGCTGGCCCAGTGCCATCGACCAGGCCCCACCCTGACACACGCAGGGAGGCCAGGGACAGTGCCCTGGGGTGACAGCACTCTGGGAGGTGGCAGTGTCCAGGGGGTGACAATCACTGAGGCCATTGCGTGTGAGCGAGCAAGGCAGCAGGGACCCGTCGCCCCCGGCACCCGCTGTGAGCCGTCTACCTCGTCCTGAGCAAACTGTCCCACTTGATCAGTGTCTCGGGCAGCAGGGCGTCTTCCAGCTGCCCCAGCGCGCCCCGGCTGGGGAAGACGAAGAAGGTGGTGACGTTCCCGGCCCCGGCGTGGTCCATCTGCAGCACCGTGCACTGCAGCTCGGGGTCATGGAGGAAGCGGTGGCGGGCCTTCTGCCGCATCATGGGCACCTGCACAGTCCTGAGCTCATCCACAAAGAACTCCTTCGGGCTGGTGGCCTCCAGGTCAAAGGGTGTCTCCCACCCGGCTGAGGGGAAGAGAGACACTGATGTCACCTTGGAGAGAAGCGAGGATGGGCTCAGGGTGACCCCTCTGGCAGCCCGTGGGAATGGGGAGTCCACAGTTTGGACGCCAAGCCTGGCTTCGTAACTCCCTCATGGCTTGTCCTTTGTGACCTGGGTGATCCTGGGGGACTAAACCCTGGACCACCCTGAGCTTCCATCTCTCGTTTGTACAATGGGAATAAGTACTATCATGGTAACGTCATAGTATTATGATGGTGCAAATACTATTCCACTCTCTGGTCTCCTTAGTCTCTTTCACAGGTGGTTAATTTTAAAGGAAAAAAAATGTATCGTTGTGGTACAAGCTGCCCTGAAAACACGTGGACCGAAGGCGAGGCTCTGTCTGGCTTGCAGGTCTAAGGCAAGTCGCCTCACACGGGCCTCAGTTTCTCTGTCTCTCAAATAGACCTAATAATAACCTTGTTGGGTTGTGAGGAGAATTTAATGAAAATCAAATAGGCACAGTGACTGTCATGATCATAGGGGCATCATGCTTAGATTGTGTGTGTGCGTGTGAACACGCTTACAGAACACATGTGGTAAGTATTCATAGGCATGCATTTGAGAGATGCCTCAGTGGCTCAGGTGAAGCACTTATTTAAAAACCTGTCTCTGCACTTGTAATGCAGAAACATTAATCTGAGCCTCTTGTGCTTCTTCCAGGTGAGAAGGTCAAGTGGGACAGGAGAGCGAATGCCCCTCGAGACCTGCAAAGTGCCATACAGTGTGAGGGGGACCGGATGCATCTGCGGAGTCAGGGGGCACAGCTAAGGAGCCAGGTCTGTGACCTTACTGGCTCTTTTGGAAGAAGCAAAGGGTCTCCCTGGCCTTGTGTTGCTCCCTGCTCTAAACCATGCCTTCCAGGACCTGCCAGAGGAAGGGGGTTCACGCTCTTCGATTGGGTTGCTTTCAGGGTTACTCAAAGTGGGGGTCAGGGCCTGCCTGCAGCAGAACCATCCTCGGGAGGAAGGAAGGAGGAGGGCCTCTTCAAATGCAGGGTCTTGGGTCCCTGAATTCCCTATCCCTTACATCAGGACCTTCTGGGGACACCTGCATTTTAAACAAGTTTCTCTGGGAACGCTATGCACACTAAAGTTGGAAACATCCTTCTTTGAAAAAGACTCAACAAGTAGCATTAAAACGGGATAGGTGATGAGTTCCCTGTCACTGGGGGTATTCAAGCAGAAACGGCGAGGATTTGGTGGACCTCCTATATCGAAGTCAGCAGGGGAGGCTTTCTGGATGCTGTGAGACGCAGGGCTGCGATGTGCCTGGAGCCCCAGTCCCCAGAAGGAGATTCCACGTTGGATATATGCACTCTTACCCCGGAGGAGCACATGATTCACGAGGACGGCTGCAGTCTCGTTCCCGAGATCCTCCACCCAGGCCCCAAGCTTCCCCTGGGTCTGCTTCTCTACGTACTCGCGGATGCATTTCTGGCCTTCCCCTGGGTCCTGCCCGGCCCCGGGGCCCAGGCTATGGAACCTGCGCTGGCCCACCGTCAGCAGGAGCCGGGGGCCCTGCAGGGGGAGCCGGAGCAGCAGGTCCTGGAAGGCCTCCTGGACCTCGGCCTCGGGCACCACGGAGAGGTTGAGCCCCAGGCCCTCCAGGAGCTGGGCCCTGCTGGCTGCAGGGGCTCCGAGGAAGAGCGTGGCCAAGGCTGAGGAGACGCTCGCTGGGGAGAAGAGAATGTTCTCCCCGGGGGCGTTCCAAGCCAGCTGTCTGTAGAGGTTGAAGGCGAAGTCTATGTTGCTCACGGACAGCTTGTGGCAGGGTAGGGCAGGCCTCGGTGGGACGTCGCGGGGGTTGGTATCGATGGGATCGGAATCTTTTTGGTCAACCAGGGCCAGACAATGGTCCACGGCCATGAGCGCCGGGAACAGCAGCCACCACCGAGGGGACTCCATCCTCTGGCGTCCTTGGTCTGCAAGCAAGGGGCATGAGGGGACAACGGCAATGACAGCAGTAATCACGATCCCTGATGTTCGCAGAGCTTCCGCTCTGTGTCAGGCACTGTGCGGATCCTTCCCAGGCGCGTCCCCTCTCATCCTCACCACAGCCCAACGCGGTGGGGGGCCCTGTGTTTACACCCCCATTTGACGGGTAGGAAAACAGAGGCCTAGGAAGGTTAAGTAATGCACCCCATGTCAAACAACTGGTAGGTGGTGGAGTGAGGATTCGAACCCAGAGCTTGGGAGGGGGTGGATTTACAAGGAGATGAGAGGAACACCCAAGCAGACACCCTGTCTGGGCAGAAGCACTCAGTGCTGCGCACTTGCTGGGAGCGCCCTGGCCCAAAGCTCACAGGCAGGCACTAGCTGTCCCCAGGGGCAGCGATCCTGGCTCGTCACAGGTCTCAAGTCCGCTGAATCTCCTCCAGGTGTTTCTGTGGCTCGGGAAGACGCCCTCCGTCCTGGGTGGGGCGGTCCCCCTGTGTCCCCGTCCCCCCAAGCCCCCTACTTCCTGCTCACACACAGAGAATGGGTCTCATCGGACACACTCAGAGTCCCTTCTCCAGCTGACCCCTCTTCAAATCCCGGCTCTGCCATATCCCAGGCTGGGACCTGGGGCACACTCCCGGACTCACAGAGGCTCCCGTGGAGGGGCGGGGCAGCAGGCCCCTCTGGTGGAGTCGGGGGGAGTCTGGCCACCCAGGCTCGGCTAAGGCTCTGCTGCGGTGTGGGAGCCCGGAGACGGTGGCCAAGTCACCTGACCTCTCTGGGCTTCCGCTTCCCTTCTGCGGGATGGAGCTAAGAATCCCCACGTCCCAGGGTCGTGGACAGTCGAAGCGATTATGCACCCGGCTGACCCTGTCCAGGGCCTGGCACCGGCCAGACCCCAGAAAGCAGCAGATATTTTTCTCCAGAGAACATGAGGTCTCCCCTCTAGTGCTTCTGACTCAGCAGACCCCAGTCTGAAAACCCTAGAATTTATTTTAGGAAGGGCCTGATTTGCCCCTGTTTGTCTACTCTGGGTTTGAGTAATTATTGACAGAATTAGTCATCCTCACACTACCCCATCCTGCTTCTGAATTTTCCATGTGACCTTGGGCAATCCTGGACCTTTCTAAACTTCATTTCTTTCGTCTGTAAAGGGGAGAAGCAACTGAAACTCTGCCTTGAGGAATGAATGCCTCACGGGCAGAGGTTTGTTCCATATGGTTTATTTCTCGGCAGAGAACAGCCAGGTCTCCATCTGTCCATTTGCCTGGTAATTTGCTTTGGTGAATATCTTGGCATTGATGAAAAGCTCATTCCCTTATTCCACTTAACGTTCATCCATTCATTCATTCATTCACTCGCTGAACAAACATTGACGGAAAGTCTGTCGGGACTTGAGCCATGTGCTGGGGGTGCAGGATGGATGAGGCACTGTTGCCCCGACAGGGAACTCAGGTTTGCCAGGGATGGGCACACAGAATTCATGCAGAATATTCTGCGTGAGCAGGTCCCCCAAACCACAGAGCTTTCGTGCTGAGAGGTCACGATCCAACGTGAGCACTGTAGAGACGGGAAAGTGGAGGCCCAGAGAGAAGTTTGTTTGGTCACGTGTTGACTCACTCAGGTCAGGACATGAGGGACTGGCAGCCTGGACCACGCTCGCCGGCCTTTGCAAGGGACGGAAGGGCAGAGAGCTCATTACAGCTCCCGAGCAGCGGCAGTGTGGGGACTGCTGTGCAGGGTGAACGGGGGGCTGCAGGAGGCTGGGCGCTCCTGGAAGACTCCCTGGAGGAGGTAGCCCCTGACCTGGGCCTGGAAGGTGGATCAGGGGAGAAGCAGGAAAGGGGGTTCAGCGAAGGGGAGCGCATGCTCAAGGTCACGGCAGCAGGGTGAGCCAGCAGTGCTCCAGACTGTTGTCTGTGTGCAGCTCTCGGAGCAGGAGGGTTGCGTGTGTGTGTGCATGTGTGCATGCACCCGTCTGTGTATGTGCGCATGTGTGACTTGTGATGAGATACCATGGGCAGGTTCACCAAGCTGGCTGGGGGCCCTTGACTCCAGCCCCACCCACAGCCCCATGCTCACCTGAAATCAAATGTTTTTCGTGAACCTTCAAAGGAGCTGGAGAGATTCAGCAGATCTGCACTGCCCTGGGCACAGAAGTTTGTCCCTGCGGGGAGGACTGAGGCAAGCTGGACTTCCGGGACTAACCGGCTGACTGTACTGAGGCTGCCCTTGGCGCAAAGTCAACCCGCAGCTCAACCAACAGTGAGGAAAACAACCCGCCCCTCAATGCGCCCTGTGTGAAAAACCAGGCACAGGAAGGTGCTCTGGAGCCTGGCGGGGCCCGTGACCTGGGGATGAGTCTCAGGTCCATCACTATTGTAGCATGACAGTCTCCTGAGTCTCAGATTGCTCCTCTGTCCCCCTTCCCACTCAAGGTCACCCTGGCGGTTAAATCCAGTGACACAGAAGGACAGTGTAAATCTAGGGAAAGGCTGAGTTCATTGGAGCCACGCTCCAGCCTCTCCTGGTTTCATTCTTTCATCTGCCATTCATCTATGACACCTACTTCCCGCCTAATGCCCTGCTTATCACAGCACATGGCCCAAGTCATAGTTCGTGCCTTCCCGGAACATAGCCTATGATTCTTTAAAATGTTGTGCTTGCTGTTCACTCTGTGTTCATAGTGTTTTCCAAATTGTAATGACTAGTTCTTCAAAAACGTCAATAGACCTTGCCATTTAACACAGCGTAAGCCACAAAGTTCATGTGTACTCAACAGAAAGAGAGTTTGCGAAACTTTCGCAACTCAAATACCTTCTCTGTCCTGAGCTGGCTCGGTGTCCGGAAAGGGACAAACATGGCCAGTCGACCGAGTGCAGAGACAGGGTTCACGCGGGCCAATGGGTATGAGTCAGGCCTCATGTTCTCCCAGCCTTGTTTGTTATTACTTTATTTTTCTTCTCCTCACCCATCGCCTGTGTATAAACACCTGCACAGTCACTTCCTGTTGGCATTGCAGGATTTGCCCTTCTTTCTCTTGATAGTCACTCAGGGGAGATGCAGCGCGGGTCCCTCCACTTGTTCGCTCTGGAGTGCCCAGCACATGCCGAAGATGCGGTTGGTGCTGCGGAATAAGGCGTGATCCCGCCCTCAAGGATTTTGGGTTTGTTTCAAATTTGGATTATGGAAGAATTCAAACATACACCACAATAGAGAGACTGCTATAACAAACCTCACGTCTCATCAGTAGTTGTTATCAACATGAGGACAGCATCATTTTCTCCACCCAATCCCTTTCCCCTTTGGACTGTTTTAAAGTAAATCTTAAACATTTCACCTATAAGAATCGGTAAAAATCCTAGCCACAATAGTATATATCACACCTTTAAAAGCCCATACTTCCTTGATATTATCAAATTTCAAGTGGTTATTGCCCTAACTGGTTTCCCTATTTTTTTTTTCTTTTTTACAGTTGGTTTGTTTGAATTAGGATCCAAACCAGACCTACACATGGCATTTAGTTAATGTAGCCGCCCCCGCCACGCGCAGGGATACGTTCCAAGACCCCCGGGGATGCGGGACCGCAGACAGCGCTGCCCCCGGAACTGTGCTGCCTCCTCCGCATCCACTCGTAGGAGGAAGTCTAATTTATAAATTAGAATAAGAGAACAACAATAACCGAGAATAAAACAGAATGGGTATAACACTGTACTCCAATAAAGTGCACGGAACGCAGTCTCTCTGGCAAGCTGCGTGCCGTCCTCTGTCGCCCTCGCTCTCGTGATGGCGGAGGCGCCGCGGGCCTGTGTGGGGAGAGGCGCTTGCCGTTGCAGGTGCGACGGTAAAGTCAGACCACCCTTCTTTTTTCCTTCTTCACAAGTTCCCAGACAGTAGATTCATTCTTACTGTACATCTTCGCAACGTCAGCATATATGTGTCGTTTTCTTTCTTCTTAAGCTGAGAACTTTCACTTTTTCACCTAAAGGAAGGACTTGACGGATGGTCCTTGACATATCCACAGGGCCGGTGTCACCGCTCTTGCGTTTGGGGGCCATTGATAAGCCAAATAAGAGGGACTGCAGCGGAGCACTGCGGCACTGTGAGCCACCGCTCCATCCCGTGGACACAGTCGCTCACTACCGCACCCCTAAGCCCGTCCCTGTCCCCTCGGGTACTCTCTTCCCAGTCCTGGGGTGACAGCTTTCCTCGTCCCCCTCCCCCTCCCCACTCTCCTTGGTGAGTGGCCCTTTCTCAGATGACCTCTCAGTGGAGCATCGCCCTTCTCTTAACACCCCATGAAACTCATTTTAGGGGACCTCCTCCCCCTCACTGCTCACCTGCCCACCCCTCAGGGACAGATCCTGACTGTCCCCCAGCCCGGGTTTTTCTCCTGCACCCCTGAACAAGCCCCTTGGCTGTCTCCTGGGAACCGTGGGGTTTGGGCGGGGTCCAGATCTGAGTGGGTCAGCTTCTCCTCCCAACACGCTGCTCCTCCTGGTGTCTTATCTCAGGGAGTCCTTTGTCATCACCAGGAGCCTAGCGGCAGATGCGGGTTTTTCTCCTTCCTTCCCCTCATCCGCCCACGCAGTCACACCGGTTCTCCTCACAGCCGTCCATCGTCCCCTCTCTCCCTCTCCTGCTGGGATCTGTTTTTGCCTGGGTTCCTGAAACAGCGCCTTTAATGCGCGGCCGGCATTCCTGTCCTGGGCCCGGAATTGCTTCCACACAGCAGCCAGAGCCATTTTTCTCGTGTGCAAATCCGCTCACAGCCATTCTCTGTTTAAACCCTTGTAAGGCTGCCTGTGGCTTTAAGGAACCATAGCAGAATCCTCACTCCGCTGCCGGGCCGTCGGCGGTCCAGCAGCTCCCTCCGGCACCTTCCTCTCCTTGGCCCCACCACCCGGGGCCTTGCTCCAGAGCTGACTGGCTGCTTTCGGCTTCTTGAAAATGCCCCCACCACTGTTTCTCCTGCCCAGAACATTCTCCTCTCTGTTGACATCTACTCTTCCCCTGATCGCAGGACGGAAGTCGTCTCCTCCAGGAAGCTTTCCCTGACTTCCCCATCTGAGTTTGGTGTTCTCCAAGCCTCTGTGTCCAGGGCTTTGTTTCATAATCTTTCTTGCCCATCAGATCTTAAGTCCCACGAGGGCCACCACTGTGAAAATCTTTACAGGCAGAATCGCTTTGTGGTTTAGAGTGTTCCGGTGACGTCAAGCAGGTTGGGAGAGCATCCTGGTGGCAATAATTACTAGCTGTGTGGCCTTGGGGGGAGGGGAATTGCCAAGCCTGTGTTCCTCAGTTTCCTCATCTATTAAATGAGACTAATAATAGCATCTCCCTCATCGGATCATCACAAGGACTGAAGGAGTTATTTGGGGCAGAGGTCCCAGCTGCTTGCCTGGCAGGAAGACCTCAACTGTGTATTGGTCATTGTTGGCACCTTTGCCACTGCCGGTGCGATCCCTGGAGATCACATGGTTTCGGACCACATCAGAGCAGTGAACGACGACGACGTGATTGCTTTTATTGCGGGTGCGTGTTTATTGCTTGTTTGTCCCCACGCCCTCCCTCTCATTACCGGGGGACCATCTGTCGGGGGAGAACTCAGAAACAGGAACCTGGAAAGTAGCCACTCTCCCCAGGTTGGGGGGCCGGGGGGGCCGGAGGGGGCCGTCCCCGAAGGCAGAAGGCCCAGCTCAGCTGCAGGAGCCAGGGGTCCAGGGCCTGTGCCAGGTCTTTTCCCTCCTCGGGGAGGGGAAGAGCGACACTGGAACTGGGGACCGGAGAGCCCACAGAAGTAGGAACCGCACAGCGGTCCCCCTCCGGGTCCTGGGCAGGCTGCCAAAGGTGAAGGCAGAGGGGCCCTGAGCCCGGGGAATCAGTGTGGAAAGGCACGAGGAACATGCCCCGTTGGAGGAAGATGGCTTATTGCTGTTGGGAAGTCTCGGAGTCTCTGGATGAACTGCCCACAGGCCTCTTTTGCGCGCAGGAGCCACCGGGCAGAGCCACCGTCACTTTCCCGAGGATGAGCAGGGAGGGTCAGGCTGCGCCCAGACACCCGGGCGCCCTCGGCGGGAATGCCCCGCTGCCTGCAGAGGGGCGCTAGCCTTCCTTGGGGTTGGCGACTTTGGCACAGAAGAGGATGTTCTGGGTGTCTTTGGAGAGTATGACTAGCAGATAGGGCCTGTTGAACTTCACTGTGAGCTCTGGGATTCTTAGGGACAGGAGGGCAAAGCCCACGCCCGTGGCAGCCGCGGCTTCCGTGCCTTTCTCGGCCACGTCGATCACGGTTTTGTGGATCACCTGTGAGGACAGCAGGACATTACCCACCGGAGGCGGGGGGAGCAGGGGGAAAGCAGCCTGCCTACGTGCCTCTGCGGGGACGGACGCTTACCGAGCACCTACCGCTGACCTGTCACTGTGCCGGTCACCCTGTCCAATGTGTCTGTCCCTCCCAACAATGCTGTCAGCTAGCTTTGCACAGTTCTGGTGTGCAGGTGTGCACACTGGCACTCGGGGCTGTGACTGACATGCCCGGGGTGAAGGCTAGGAGCACCCTGACCTGGCTTCCCCTCTGGCTGAGCGCAGGGACTGTGCTGTCCCTTCTAAACACTTGCTGTTTAGCGGGGAGGGACAAGGGCAATGCCTGGAAGTGGCCGATGCAGACCACACAGGGGGTGGGGGCGGGGGTAGGGGTTGCCTTCTGCACTTTTCTGTCCCAGCTCCGATGTCCTTGGGGCCTTCGGCTACGTTGCATAGGATGTGGCTTCACATCCGTGGACCACACAGCCCCCCGCCCTCACCCCGCACATGTCCTTCCATTGCCACGCCCCTTGGAAGGTGGGGTGCGGAGGAGGGCAGAGCTGCCCAGCTGTTCCCCTTTTCTCTAACTCCTCTGCTTCTAGGAATAGAGTGCAGGGGTGCCTGGTCTCCTCGCCCTCGCTCAGTGCAGCTCCTCCCCCTCGCTCAGTTGCCCCATAGTCACTGTTGCTTCCTACTGCCTCTTACCCGCTCTGCTGGGCACTGCACGCTAGCCAAGACTTGTCACCCCGTTTCACCCGTGAAAAGACTGAGGGGAAGGGGGCTTTAACTATCTGCCTCGCAGGCGGTAAGAGTGCAGGATGGGGTCCACCACAGGCTCTTCCCCGTGACCAGCTTCTGTCCCAGGATCCTGCAGGGAGGCGGGGACCAGCCCCCAGTGCCATTATCGCCCAGCGCTCCTGGGCGTGGCGGAGGCCCAGGGAGGGCCACTGGATGATGAGGAATGCGGTTGTGCTTGCCAAGTCAAGATCAGCCAGACGCTGCCTGGCCTTCCCCATTCCCGTTCCCACACGGAGGGTGAGCTGCTCGAGGTTTAGAAACTCACCTGAGTGACCGCCAGGTTCCCGGTCTCTGTGATCCCTGACAGGTCAGCCTGTTGGGTGAAGACTTGCTTCATGCCCAGCTCTGGGAGTATGTCTTCCAGATTATAGTTGCTGGAGATGGAAAACTTGGGCAGGGAGAGGTCTATCGTTCTAGGAAACGAGAAAAATGAACTTGAGCACCTGCCTGGCTCGGTGCCTGCCTGCCTCTCCCCTCACAGCACGATCTTCCCTGGCTTCCCTGACCACCCCCTTCTCGCTGGGAATCAGTGTTTCATTCCTCCCTCTCTCGGCCCTGTGCCTTCTCCTTAATTCATTATTATCCGCTCGCGGCGGCCTGGGCGAGGCTGTGAGCTGGGGCGGGGGCGGGGGCAGGGCGTGCACCCTGCCCTGGCCTTCCCTTGCAAGCTCGCAGCGCAGTGGGAAGCCGGGTCACCCCACAGAGCTCTCCCCATGCGCTGGGTGGCCGTGCTGGGGCGGCCGGCTCCATGGGCGCCAGGAAGGCTTCCTGCAGGAGGCGACAGCGAGCCTGAGTCCCGAAGGAGGGCAAGGAGCCCGCTGGGTGAAAGGAGGGCAGAAGGCAGATGTGTGGCCTTATGGAGGAAGAAAAGGGGATCCTCCACGACACGGAGGGCAGCTGCAGTGCGGGGCAGGAGGGCGGGAGGGGTGGGGCAGGTGCTAGGAGAAGGGCCGGAAGCGCCGGGGCACTGCATCGGAAGGGCCCTGAGATCCTGAAATAACTGACGGCCCCCACCCGGCCTCCCCTGCGAGCTCCTCGAGAGGAGGGGCTGCTTCTGCTCCTCAGCGGAGCTGGTGGAGGTGGTCACTCGGCCTCCGAGCTCCCCCTCTCTTTTTTTCTACCTCCCTAAGCCTTTCGGTGAGCCTCACCCTACAGCTGTCGAATACGAGGGGGCTGTGCCTCCCATCAAACTCCGAGTCCCAGGGAGCAGGGACCCGGTCTATCAATGCTCCCTGTCACTCAGTCTGCTCCAGCCACTCGGGCCTCTCTGACTCTTGAACACATGAGTCTTGTTCCTGACTTAGAGGCTTTGCACTGGCTGTTCCTTCTGCCTGGAATGCTCTTCCCCAATACACCCGCATGGCTGAGTCCCTCACCTCTGTCATGAGGAGGCTCAAATTTTACCTAAAACTTAAAATCACAAACTACCATCCAGTCCAGTTTTCTCAACCCTTTTACCCTAACCCTGCTCTTGTTTCTCACCCTTTAACACACCAAATAATGTACTTATTTATTGTGTTTATCTAGTGTCTCTCTCCCCCAATTACAAAGTAAGCTCTACAAGGCCAGGGGATTTTGTGTTTTATTTGCTGATATGCCCTCAGGGTCTAAATCAGTGCCTGCACACAGTAGGCGCTCCATTAACCACTCAACGAATGCTGAATGGATGAATGAATGGATGGATGAAGGAGTGAATGACTGATAGCCAGTGCGAAGCTGCTGCTCAGAGCCTGTCTCACCTGCGCCCTTGACCAATCACACTCCGGTCTGCCCCCTCTACCTCAGGAGGCTGAGGCAAGGAGAGAACACACGTGAGGGTTGGGGGCTGCGTCGCGGCTCCCTGAGACTTACGTAGAGCATATTAGAGTCCAAGGAAGTCTCAGCCCTGTCCCATCGGATGTTACCATCTTACAGAAGAAAAAACATTCAGGCCCAAAGCCACACAGGCACCAAAGGGCAAGGCAGTCCCGCACGGTGCCTGACCCACCGTTGCACGTCCACCCTGCACCTCAGCGAGGCCTGAGTGGAGAAGGGACAGAGAGCCGGGGAAGAGTGCGGACAGTAGAGAGCCCTGGGTCCTGGGAATACTCACCTCATCTGCAGTGAGTCTCTCCACCTCCCCAGCGTCTCGGGGGACAGTGCAGCTTCCACCTCCTTCATCTTGCCCTCGTCTGGGAGGATGAGGAGCATGCTGTCATTGCTGGTGTACCGCAGCTCCACCACCGTGCAGGAGAGCACCTCGTCCCAGAAGTAGGGCGTGCGCAGGTCCTCATGGCGCATCATGGGCACCTCCACCGACCTCTTCTTACTCACGAAGAACTTGGACTTGGCAGTGTCGAGGGGGTCAAAGGGTGTCATCCACTTGGCTAGAGGCAGAAGGAGCCGTAGGAGAACTCGGTCAATGTGAGGGCGGCCTTGCCTCCACACCTCCTCTGCTCAGGTGCCCTGGGCACTGAAGACACTCTGCACCCCAAACACCAGCCCACAGCTCCTCTTAGGGATGGCTCAACCTCAGTTTGCAAAAAATACCTGGACAGGTGGGGGTGGGTCAGACAGGGGGCCGTGAACCAAAGACCTGGTTAATCATGCTCAGTGAGGAACCTACAGGGATCTGGGCACATGAAAGGCAGGAGAGAGCCCGGGACTCGGGGAGGTGGCGCGGGGCATGGTGGTGAGCTGGCGGCCTGGGCCTGGGGGGAGATGGGAAGCCCTGGCTCTTACAGGGCCAAACCAGTGGCTCGTCACTGGCACTGCAGAGTGGCACGTACGCCCAGAGCTTGTGAAACAGGTGAACATCAGCAAAATGGGAACCCAGAGAGCAGGGCAAAGGCCACCAAAGGACGGAGCCCAGGTCTGCCCCCCGCTCCCAGGGGTGGGAGGACGCTTCCTGGGGAGATTACCCCCAGGTCAGACGCCTGAGGCTTCCTTGGAAACATGTAACCACTTCTATTGTCCCCTTTGTTTTCTACCCTTGTGTGTCCCCATGTCCCCTTTGTTAGAGGCAGGAAAGGAAGGAGAAGCTGGACTGCCTAGCATGTTCCTGAGTAGGAGAATTTGGAGGAGATCGTCCCAGGATAGTGCAGGGTGGCAGGAAGGAAAAACACCAGAGACTCAAAGGACAAACACAACACGCCAGGCCAGGATCTTGGTTCTATGTCTTTGTGTGCTGATGGAAACAGGCCCCGGAGGCTTGCCCAGGTCTCAGCCAAGAACTCCTGGTACAGGGCTCTCTTGGTGTCTCCCCACAGCTCACGTGTCTCAGGTACCTTACCACCTTCTGGCTCAGAGATCACGCTCTGGGTCCCTACTGAGTTTTTGTCCCCATTGGGACTGCTGGCTCCAGGAGGCAGGGTCTTTCTGCTCACACTCTGCCCTGTTCAAACTTAAGGGATGAGGTTTGCATTGGTTGCATTCCCTTCTATGCGATCGGCGCTCAACCCACTGGGAAAGGGTCCTGTCTTGGATACCGCCCTCCCCAAGTCTCTTTCCAGAGGGTGGCCACACCATGTCCTCCCTCAAGATTATAGAAGGGCAGAGTTGCAGAACTGGGCACGGCCTGACTCCTTAGGAGCTGTCTTCCCACGGAGATGGCCACCAGTCCCACCGAGATCCCCTGCACCCCCCAGAGACCAGGGCCACCCAGGGGTGACTGGGAAGGATCAAGTTTAAGTCAGAATAAAAAGTACCAGTCTGGCTACAACAAAGGGTTAATGGGTTCCCCCACAGTTAGGTCTTGGAATGAGCAACGAATACAGGAAACTCCAAGAGAAGATTGGGTCATGGTGCCCATGCCCCCCTCCGCCCCCACCCCCACACAAGCCAAGGGCACCCTCCTCTATAGCAGTTTCCCTAATAACACAGGTCACTGAGCCAGGAGAGCAACAGCTCTGAAGGCTCAGAAATAAAGTCTGTTTCTTTCCAAACCCCACACTGGCACCCACCTTTAAAGAAGATATAATTCACCAGGACCATCACTGTGCTTGGGTCAAGGCTCTGGATCAAATCCAGAATTTTCCCCTGGGTCTTCTCCTTCACGTAGTCATTGATGAGCTTCTTGGCAGTGGCAGAAGCCCGGAAGTTGGTGGAGAAAGCCTCAGAGGCATACAGTGCCTTGGCATCGTCCCTGAACTTGTCCAGCAGCGTCAGCTTCCCATCGACGAACATGGCATTGCCCACACTCAGCTGCATCAGGCTCTTGGATTGGTTGAGGGCGTGCAGGAGGTGCTGGAAGCCCTGGTGGATTTCTGTCTCAGAGATCTCTGTGAGGTTGAACTTGAGGCCTCCGAGAATCTCTGTCAGGGTGGTGCCACGGGCCCCCAGTGACACGAACGCCAAGGCCATGGAGATACTCATGGGAGAGAAGACAACATTTTTTTGAGGGTTCTTCAAAGCCAACTGCTTGTAGAGGCTGAAGGCAAAGTCAGTGTTGCTGGAGGCTAATCTGAGGTGGTCCACAGGCATCTCCTTGTGTTGGTCTTCCTTGGTCAAGTCCTGCTGGTGCAGCATGTCCACTGCGAGGCCATGGACAGCAGGGCATAGTCCAGCCACCAGGAGACCCAGAACCAGAAGGGACAACATTCCTTCTGCCCTCAACTCTGAAAAGTAAAGTTCCTGTAAGACTCAGAGAGCCAGGCAGTGCCTTGACCGCCTCCCACTGCCCCCCACATGGCCTGCTTTCTGCTCTGTGCCCCTGAGAGCTTCATGACCTCCTAGGCATCAGCTATTTCCTGGGCACCCAACACACATAATTGCGCTCTGTGCTCCCTCTCACTTTTTGAAGTAAGTACCGTAATTATTGCCATTTTCCCCCAGTGGAGAAACTGGGCACAGAGAGGTGAATGGGCTCGCCCATTGTCATATAACAAATAAATGGCAGAGCAGAAGTGAGCAGCTTGGTTTGCCGAGCTCCTAAGTGGGGAAGTTAGAGATGCGTGTGAGGTGCTGCCCAGTCAGAACTCATCCTCCCCTCCTGCTTGGTGAGCGGACACCAGTCAGAGAGGCCTAGAACGCAAGGCTCCTTTTCCTGTACATCTCTTGTCTACCCCTCAAGTAGAACCCCAGGAAGGAGCCCTGGGCCACAGTGCTGCTGCTGACCTTCCGATGCCAAGTTGTGGGCAGGTGCTCTCGGCGTGGTGCCTGGACGCAGGAGGGCTCGTGTAGAGAGGGCACCAAAAGCCAAGCTGTAGCCAGGTGGCCCTGATACATGTTGGTGCAAAGACCAAAATAAAGGTAGCATGTTCTTTTCAGCCTCTGCCTGGTTAACAGCAGGTACTTTTTTCTACCTTTTCTACCATATGCCTGGAAAGGGCTCCTCATGGGGAGAAAGCAGTGTGGGCTTCAGAGTCACAGAGACCTGGACTAGGGTTTCATTTTGGCCACTTGTGACGGCTGGGTGATGACAAGCAAGTGACTGAGCCTCTTTGAGCCTCACTACCTGTGTCAATGCAGCAGGCTGAGTAGCTCAGGGGAGATACACTAGGAACGTCCTGAGGGGCATTCGAGGGTTGCTATTGCCTCCCACAGGCTCCGCTCTGAAACCACAGGCAAGAGGTATGATTCCATGGGAAGAGGAAATGGAGCCACTGAAGGACAGCGAGAGATGGGGTTCAAAGCTGGGGACCGCAGCAAACAGGCTTATTTACCTTCAGGCTCTGGCCACTCAGCCCCTGGCCACTCAGCGCCTGAGTTCAGAGGGGAGAAGGGCAGCTAAGGTGGTGAGGAGGGAAGTGAAGATGATAAGAGAGGAAGAGGAAGAGAGAGGAAGAAGAGGAGGACAGGGGAGGGCAGAGGAGAGGAGAGGAGAGAGGCTGACCTGATTATCATCAAGAAGGCAGTGTACCCCCTTTGGACAAGCCATGGGACAGAGGCAGTGCAACTGCCTCAACTGTTTACTCTCTGGATTATGTAACCGTCTCAAAATTATTTCTGGAGAAAGAAGGCTTGTCTGTTTGAGCAAGCTGGCAGGCCAGCTCTGTTTCTGAGCAGCCTGTCTTTTCAGTTGCTGGACAGCAGCCTGCTTGTCCACCTGGCCAGGAGTAGGGTGGCGCTGGGGCCCAGGGACAGCCCCCACTGAGTCCCTGTGGCCTCGACCCAGAGGGACCCAGTGCCGTAATTCTGTCTGCACCACTTCGGAGAGCAGCACCCTGCACCAGGCGAGGGGAGGCCCCTCCTGCCCGTGGGGGGAGCGCTCATCCTGAGGATGGGTACACAGCTGACTCAAAGCAGAATCCAAGAGTCAGGCCCAGAAATGGTCCTAGACGTCCTCATGGTATGTCTAACTGTTCGCAGGTGTAAAACCCAAACCCAGTCAGGGCTGTCTTCGCAGGGCCCCAGGACTGGCCCCCCGCACTCTGGCACACCTCCTCCTTGCACCCTCCCTCCACGCAACCCCTGACTCCCGGCCAAGACCTAGAACCACCCTGGAAAAACAGATTCCTTCGCTCCCGGTAGGGCAGCATCGTGGATTACCTGCCTCGGAGAGCTGCGTGCAGTGCGAGGAAGCCAAAGCCGTCACCTGTACAAATGCTGGACTCGCCTGGGTGCGAATGCTTATTTATCCCTGCAGGGGACTCCTCCCCTTGCTTGGGAAATGTTGGTGGCGCGTGCCAAGAGTTCTCTTCTCAGGCTGGAAATGGCCAAGCAAGCATTTCTGGGAATATGGACTTATTAGATCTACTCAAATAACCCAGTTCTGGGTACAACTAATTTTTTTTTCTCTTAAAAACAAATAACAAATAAAACCTTTTTTTTGTTAGTTTTTTCCTTGTTTATAAAATACTCATTGAAGAGCATGTAAAAGCCCAGAAAAATGTAAGAAGGATATTGAAAAATATTTCCCAGAATAGTATCACCGAGGGGAAGTCCCAGCCAGCCTTTGTTGAAGGTCTTATGTCATTTTTCTCTGGGTGTGTGTGTGTGTGTGTGTGTGTGTATGATGACTCTCCATACAGAAACTCAGGTATATTTTTTAAAAATGTGACAGTATTTTTATAGCTTAATTTGCATTCTGAGGCACCTCTCCCCAGTTCCCAGAGATGGGGGTGTTAGTCTGAGGGCCGTGTGCGCATGGAGAGCACAAGTATCCTGGGGGCCACGGGTCTCCAGCCCCATCTGTCTTTGGGGGCTTCTCTCCACTACAGGTTCACGCTACGAGCTGGTTGTCTCTCATTCCTGACCTCGTGGTCTTCTCAGAACTCCTTCGGAGCTAATCCCGGGCCTTTCTTGGGCTTGTGGGGAAAACCTTCCCCCTGGTCCCTAATTGCCACAACCCTCCATCTGTGACAACCTCTGAGAAACCTCTGTGGAGGCCCCACATGGAGCACAGTTTGGAAACCACTGGGTTAGTGGTGAGGGAATGGCTTTGGCATGAGGAAAAACTGGATTCTGAAGGAACTTCTCACCAGCTGTGTGACCTCAAGAGATTTACTGGAAATCCCTCAGTCTTAATTTCCTCCCTATAAAGCACAGGTGACATTTCCCTGACAGGGTGATTATAAAGATTAAGTAAAATAATACTAAACGTAAGCTCTATTAGGACCAGGTCTTAGTTTGTTTGTTTTGTGTAATGCTGTATCCTTAGAGCCCTTAATAAATATTTGTTGACTGGAAAGCCCTGAGGTGACCAAGAGGAGTTTGGCCTCATCCTCCCTGAAAGGATGACTTATGTCCTTTTAGGCTCCAACTATTTTCAGAATTGAGTACGTATTTTTAAGTTACACAGAATCCGAAAGAAATAGTGGCAAACAAGACTAGATGGAGACAGTGGGTTGACCCAGTGGCTCTGTTTTGTGAGGAACCCAGGATCCTTCCATCTTGTTGTCCTTCCATTCCTGGTGTTTGTTTGCCAGGTCCAAGACAACCAACTGCCATGTCCACCTTCGTCCAATAGGAAGAGTAAGAGGGGAAAGGAAGGGTATATCCTTTTCTTTGAAAGGAAAGATCTGTTTAATATATGTCATCTATGTTCTTTCCATTTGCGTGCCATTGGCCCAAGCTTGGACATGTTGCCACATCTAGCTGCAAGGGAGGCTGTGCAGCGCGGCTAATATTCTGCATTATATACCCGTGTGGTAGCTTAAAATTTGGGGCTCTATTATCAAGAGAAAAGATAAAAATGGACATTGGACATGACTAATAATCTTGCCCCAGCATGTACCTGAGTGATTCCAAATTCTTCAGCCTCGAGAGAGCCATCATTTTCTTTAAAACTGAAACGACTTAGTGTGAAGACAAAAAATTGTGTACCTTCTCCAAATATCACTGAGGATGTTCGTGGGGGAGCTGACATGTCCTGGGTGCCACCTGTTACTTGGAGCTCCAGACTGATGCTCCAGCATCATATGCACTCTACCTCTTGCCATCTCTCAGTCTTTTCTCTGGGCTCCTGCAGGCTTCATTGGTCTGCTTTGCTCCAGGCATTGGTACAGGCCCTTCAGTTCTATAAGCATCTTTCATACAAGGATGGCCATTGTCACAATGTTCTCTAGGGCCTGATGAAAGCATAGGGCAATTATGATGGGAGAAGAGAAGCAGAACTAAAGTAAGATGCTCTTGCTCCAGATTCCACTGGCCTCTCCTCTTTAGCATTGTCCCTTCCTGGTCATTGCTCTTACTGGACACTGAGGCTGCAGTATCATTGGAGACTGTTTTTCTTGTGGGTCAGTAGTTCTTTGAGAATATTCTTTCCTCTGAGTCAAGGGGACCCCCACTATATTTCTGAACCCCCCAAAAGAAGCAAAAAAATTAGAAGCATACTAATGTCTCCAGATATGCCCCTGCCCACAAGGAAGAGAGTTTTGACACACTTACACACTTGCTATACTCAAAGTGTGGCTTGGGAACCAGCAGCCAAGAGCTTGATGGAAAGACAAACCCTTGGGACGCACCCCAGACTTGCTAAATCAGAATCTGCTCCCTAAATAGCACCCTAGGCAATTTGTGGGCACCTTGCAGGCTAAGGAGGTGAAAGGAAGGAGAATATCTCATGCAAAATATGTCTTTTGGGCTACCCTTTTGTAAGGGACATTTACATTTATAAGAGAAATCCCCATTGTAAAGGTGTCTCCCTCTCTGTACTGGGAAGAGGAAGATGAGTAAATCTCTAGAAACTCTTATCAATGGAGGAGGCTAGGACTTACATCTTTGTCACAACTATAACTTTGATTGTGGTGCTTTTCTTGGTCACCTCCCATAACTGGCTCCTCCTTCTCCCAATATCTTCTTTTGTTTTTAGCTAAAGATACTATTTAAGGTGCTGGCTTGGGCCACTTTGGGGAGTTACTTGGTTTACCTAGGTATCTCCCATGTAGGCAGGAGGTATACATGTTATTAAAAGTCTGGGGTTTTTTTCCTCTACATCTTTCTTTTATTACAAGGGTGGAATCTTGGCCAAGAACCTAGAAGGGGAGAGAGAAAATCATTTTTCTCCCCTACACCTGATCGGGATCTCCTCTCTGCTTTTGCTCCCTGGCTTGGCATTTTCTGCCTCAGCAGGAAGTGGCGCCAAGCCCAGCCCTCCCGGGAGGGCTGTGTTTAAGGGCAGAACCCAGCTTCCCATCCAGATTTAGGAGGGGCAGCAGATTTTGCATGAGTATGTATTTTTGTCCCTGTAACACATGAACTTTATAAGTTACTAAGGGATTCCCATAGATCACTTACTTGTTCATTTATTCCTGCTTTTACTCCACAGAAATTTGCAGAGTGGTTTCATGTGCCAGGCAGTTAGACAGTGGGCATCTAGCAGGGGAAGGCATATGTAAAGATTCTGCTTTCGCAGTGACAGGTCTCTGAGGTTCTGGACCATTGCCCTCAACAGGAGGTGGGAACTACAATCCGGGGGTCTGCAAATGTTTTCTGGGAAGGGACAGATAGTACACAGTATAGATGTTTGAGGTCTACATATGGTCTCCTTCTTCCTCCTCTGTCCCTTGCCCCTCCTCTTCCTCTTCTTCTTTTTATCACACTTTTTTAAATGTAAAAAAAAAAATTATTCCTAGCTTGCCAGTCATACAGAAACAATCTGTGGGCTGGATTTGGCTGGTGGGCCTGGTGCAGCCAGATACATTAAAGCCCAGCGCACTAGCATTCTCACGCTGAGTTCAGACTCACCTCAGAGCTTCCGGCCGCACATTCCTTAGGGGTCTGGGGTTGGGGTGGAAGGAAAATCCCAACATCTAATCTCATGTTTGCCCAGGCCCCTCCCCTCAGTTAAGTGGGAGAACTGGTGGAAATTGGGCAAAACCAACCCAACGTCAAATCCAGGTTCTCTCTATTCTTTCATACTCTTTCTTAAAAATGAGAGAAAGAAAGAGAGAAAGGAAGGAAAAAAGAAAGGAAGAAAGAAAGGAAGAAAGAAAGAAAGAAAGAAAGAAAGAAAGAAAGAAAGAAAGAAAGAAAGAAAGAAAGAGAAAGAAAGAAAAAGAAAGAAAGGAAGGAAGGAAGAAAGAAAGGAAGGGAAGGGAAGGGAAGGGAAGGGAAGGGAAGGGAAGGGAAGGGAAGGGAAGGGAAGGGAAGGGAAGGGAAGGGAAGACACGTGCACCCTTGAACGCACGAGAGAAAGCAACAGCTTCGGGAGTGTAACCCTGTGCAGGTGTTGGGGCGACTGCTTTTTCAGGCTTTGGGTGTCTATGGATCTGTGCAGGGAAGGCTGCGTCCTCTATGTGGGGCACCGTCCCAGCTGAAGGGGAGCTCTGTCCCCATCAGTCACCGCCTCCCATCTGTGACTGTGAATGGGTATGTCCCTCTGACTTGAAATGGACACAGGCAGGCCCAGGGAGGGCTGAGGGTCCATGCTGGCTTCAGTGGGCTCAGGGCTGTAGGTCCCAGGGCTCAGGAACCCCAGGGGTTCACAGACACAGAGATGGGCACAGGCAAGGGGCGGGGCCAGCCTGTGGGGCCCCTGTGAGCGGGGCTGCAGCACCTTCTTGAAGGCGAGGAGATAAAAGGCATACCTCGCATGCTCGGTCCGGGCCTGGGCTCACGCGTGCTCTGTCCATGGCATGGTCACTCTCCCTGTCCCCAGACACACATGGAGTCCATGGGAACTGGACTAACTTGGACTTGGAAGCCCAACCCTTGTGGTTGTTCACTATTTTCACAGGCCTTGTATTGCCACTTCTGGCTGCTGAACGCTGGCATGGCGCAGGTTGGCTAAGGAAAACCATAGGAAGAGTCCGCCCTTTGGCTGGGATTGCGTACGGAGACACGGGTACCTCTGGGACTCACCTGGGGTGGGGCTGGACAGGGGGCCCCAAGTAGGAAAGTGTCCCATCTCTGTGGGAAGGTGAGGCTGGGAGGGACCAGTGCTCATTCCTTCAGAGAGCTTCTTCCTCAAGGGGGAGGGGGCGGGGGATTGGGAGGGGCTCTCTCTCCTCCTTCCATGCGGTGGTTCTGTTGCCATGGATTAGCAGGGTGACTTAGGCCAGTTACTTCACCTCTCTGAGTCTCTGTTGTCCATCATAGCTCCCTAAAGAATCCTTAGGAGGAAAAAATGGGATATTGGCAACAGCCCCAACCCCAGTCCAGGTCCCACCTTCTCTCCTACAGGCCGG